GGCTCGCAAGTCAATTCTGACGAGAAGAGTGAGCCTGATAAAGTGGGTATCTTGGTCACATCTCTTCTCGCTGCGTGTGCTCGAGGGAGTGTACGGGGGAGTGCAGTGGATCGGTCGAGAGACGTGCTCGCTGGGAGTGCTGTGGATCAGCGAGCTGCTGAACTCGAGGGGGGTGCTGTGGATCAGCGACCAGACGTTCATGCTGGGAGTGCTGTGGATCAGCGACACGCTGACCTCGCTGGGAGTGCTGTGGATCAGCGACCTTCTCGTCTCGCTGGGAGTGCAGTGGATCAGGGACCTGTGCGACTCGCTGGGGGTGCAGTGGATCGTGGACGGGACGTGCTCGCTGCGAGTGCTGTGGATCGTGTGCCTCAAGGCGCGCATGGGGGGCCCGTGACCCCCGCGCCGTTCGAGGAGGCCAGCCGTGCTGCCGCTGCTGCTGACCCTTTTCCCCCTCCTCGTCCTCGTCCTTCTTCCGCTCCTCCTCCTCAGGGGCTGCCCAGCTTTAAGGAGCTGGTGGCCTATGCAAGCAGGTTTCGATGATGTGTTCTGGGGGGCCCGCTCTGGCTGACATGCCCAGAGCTCCTCTTTTTCTTCTGGACTGGGTCCATAGGGACCTCTTGTGCTGGCCTGTGCACTCGGTGCGATGTCCTTGCCTCTAGGTTGAGCGAGGACGACTCGGGGCTCCCTATCGGGGGCGGGCCTTTCATCACTCGCTTGGATAGCGCACGATTGATCGTATATAGCAGATTGGTGCCTCGCATGCTCGCTATGTAGTCTCTCTGGCTGGAGACATTCGGTCCGATATCGTTTCGCCGCCGCCGCCGCCTCCTCCTCCCTTGCGGTCGTCCTTTTCTGCCCTCAGGCGCAATCTTCCTTCCTCCTCCTCCTCCTCGTCCTCCCTGTTCCTCCGTCCTCACTCCTTCTTTACCCTTCCTGGCAGGCGTCCTCCTCCATGGCGGCCTTCTTCCATGTGTTTCCTCTTCCTCCTCGTCTTAGCCCCTCACTCTTATCTTCCTCCTTCATCCCTTCTCCTGCCTTTCGCGCCTTCCTCTGTCTTCCCTCCTTCTCCCTGACGGCAGTCTTTCTCCTTGCATGCGAAGTGATCATAGGGTTGCGAATGGACAGGAATCCGAAGCGCAAGACGAGGTCCCCGCTGGAGACCTCCTCCCAGTCTGGCCGCAGACGGGCGCGTGCAACCATTCTTGGTTTGTCTCCCCCTTGGGGTGCTACAGCTGTAAGAACGGTTTTTGAAGGCAGATCTGCTTTCAAAACATGTGCGAACGGTTTTTTGAAGGCAGATCTGCCTTCAAAAAACCGTTCTTACAGGGCAGATCTGCCTTCAAAAAACCGTTCTTACAGAGTGCTCCTCGTTCGAGACGTCCCCAGCGTCTGCTCCGAAAGCCGAGAAGTCCAGGCCACCGAGCAAGGCAAACCGCTCGAGCCGTCCCCACGGCGGCAGCGCACGAGCCGCCGGCTGCTCCAAGCTTGGGGTCCTGGAGTAAGCGCCCCGCTCGAGGCGTCCTCACTATCTTCAGGAGGGAAAGAAACACACAGACACAATTAATCGTCGATTCCCCAGAAAATATAGGAAAATATTGGAAGTGGGGGGGAAGACGGAAACCCAGAAAATATGGGAAAATGTGGGTCGCATGTTTATTTGTGTGTATGTATTTGTGTGTCCTGGGGCCCCTTCATATCTGTCTTGACAGCAGAGGAGCCTCGGCCACCTAAGGCGCAAACCGCTCGAGACGTCCCCATACTCTGGGCTCCTTGGGGATTCTGAATTCCGCGCTTCGCCCGAGACATCCCTACCACCAAAAAGGTAGCCCGCTTGAAGCGTCCCAGCCAGTAAATCATGTGAGACGTCCTCACAGACTGCTCTGAAAGCAGGCGAGTATTGGCACCCAAACAGGCAAACCGCCCTGAGACATCCACTGGCCCGAACGGGCCCGTGCAAACACCCCAGCGCCTCCCCCTGGGGGGTACTCAAACCAGGGCTTCGCTTTGGATGTCCTCGCAATCTGGTTGGAAAACGAACGGTTTTGTATGGGCACCGAAGCGGGCACACCGTTCGAATTTCCGCAATCTGGCGCGAACGGGCCCGCGCAAACACCCTGGGCATTGTCCCTTGGGAGTGCTGAAATAACCGCGTCCCCTGAGACATTCGAACAATCTGGTCTGACAGCAGACGAGTCTGGACACTGAAACAAGCAAACAGCTTAAGACATCCCCGCAATCTGGCGCGAACGAGCCCGTGCAAACACCCTGGTGGTTCCCCCCGTTCCCCCTTACGAGTGCTGATACTATTGCCTCGCGTAAGACATCCTCACAACCTGTCTTGAAAGCAGACACGTCCGGGCACCGAACCAGGCAAACCGGGTGCGAATGGGCCTGTACGAGCGCCCAGGAAGCTCCACCTTGGGAGTGCTGAGCGCACCGCCTCGCCCGAGGCATGGTCGCACTCTGCGAGTCCGTGTGTGATACATTCTGAGTATGAGTGACTATGGGTCTGGGTGCGGTAGAGTTTGAGTGTGAGTGAGTCTGAGTGTGAGTGAGTCTGAGTGTGGGTGAGTTTGAGTGTGAGTGAGTCTGAGTATGAGTAAGGCAGAGCGTGAGTGAGCCTGAGTACGGATGGGTCTGAGTGTGAATGAGTCTGAATGTGAGTGACGAGTGTGAGTGAATCCGAGTGCGAGTAAGTATGAGTGTGAGTGACCCTGAGTGGAGTGAGTCTGAGTGTGAGTGAGTCTGGGTATGAGTGAATATGTGTGAGTGTGTCTGAGTGCGATCAGGTGTTAAGGTGAAAGTCCCGCCTCCAGAGTATGAAGAAGAAGGAGGAGAAGAGGAGTCGGAGGAGGAGGGGCTACTGTGTGTGTGTTTGTGTGAGGGAGTCGGCGGCGTCCAAGTAAAAGCAAGATCCCAATCTTGGGATATGGGAAGCAGTTGCATGAACGTGAACTTCCGCAGCTCCGAGCGGCTTTCCCGGATCTTCGGTGGCACTGCCCCCGGTGGCAATTTTTTGGTTCCGCCTTGGCGCGCTCCTTGCGCCATGCAGGGAGTCCAGCGCTGAGCCAAGAGAGCGTCGCGGAGCTGCGGAAGGGGGTGTTGATGCCCTCTCTTTCGTCCTTCGGAGGCCTCGAGATGGACACCAACACCGAGGGAAGAGGATCCCGATCTTGGTGATGGTGGTAAGATTCGCGCTTCCAGGGTGGACGAAATACAGGCCTCGGAAAAAATAGCGAACACTCATGCCACATTCATCTGTGAACGCCTCCCCCTCCCCCCAATGTTCAAAGTTGGCGGTGGGTCTGATGAGCCAACTTTGAGTTTGGGGGGCAGGAGGGGGGGGTCACTAATTGTGTCCCTCTACCGTATTACCACCAGCACCAAACTCTGGGATCGCCTTCCCCCGGTGGAGGCAGCCCTCGGTGCTGGTGCTGGTGCTCGCTTCTGAGCCTCCCTTCGCCCCCTTCTCTCCTGTGTGCCGCGGCCGAGGGCACGGAGCGTCGGGCCATGCTGCGGGCGCACGAGCCCTGCGCCGATGAGGGGCTGCATGCCAGAGTCGATGCCCCCAGGCCCCCGTCCAGTATTATTCGATGCTCGTTTTTGGGACCTTTCTGGGGCCCACCTAGTGGATCTATTCGACTCAGGTTCGACTCAGATTCGACTCAGGATCGACTCAGGTTCGACTCAGGTTCGACTCAGGTTCGGCGCAGCTTCGACGCACGAGTGGAGCGAGTGGCTCCAGGAAGGTCCCCAGAAGGAGCATCTAAGTATTACCCATCGGTCGTTGAAAGCTTGTTTTTTCATGATTCCCGGGTTCGACCGCCCCCTGGTTTTCACATTCAGCGTGCGCTTCCAGAGAGATGGGGCCGGAGACATCTCGAGCCACGCATTTCGAACGGAATTCTTGCTAGTGTTGAGGATGAGGGGGTGTTGAAACATTGTCATTTCAACCGTAGGTCTGGGTCAGGCCTGTATAGTAACATCTCCAGAACGCTACTATGCGACAGTCATTTTGTTGAATTGAGTTCCAGTTCGAGGTCGCAAGGGGCTCCGTGGTTCATTAGGTTTGAATGCGCCCTAGTGCTTTGTTTGATGGTTAACCCCTTCTGCCTTCCTAAATTTAGGTACGTACACGCGGTTACGTTTTGTCGATCATGACGGGATGTCGCTAGAATGGGGCTCGGCCGTTCCGCTGGATTTCATGGCTCGACCTGGGAACTAGGGGCTTCGCTCGTAGTTCCGTGTGTCAACAGCCACATTGTATTCGAGGTTGCAGACCCTGTCAACGTGGAGTCGATGTGGTTCGAGACGAAAACGGCTTGGCAGCAATGCAAGCAAGCTTCACTTGCAAATGCTCTATCGTTTCTTGAGCGACCTGTTGGAGGGCTCGTCGGGCTTGGGAACTCATGGCTCGCCCCCCATCAAACTGCAAAGTCTTGCCGTGTGTATACGCATTTCAATGCCGCATTTCTCTCTTCACCTCTCCCCCTCCCTCCCTCCCTCCCTCCCTCCCTCCCTCCCTTGCACGTTTCATGCGAGCACAGGTCAGCCTGGACGCCACAAGATGTGCATGGCCAGGTCTGAATTCGTTCCAGGTTGAGGGAAGCCCCGACGGGGCTACCTGCGAACCAACATGAACGAAACGTGTCCTGGGGGAAACGGGTCTTGAATCCCGAGGTTCTCCCCCGGGACAAGTTCTTCATCCTGGGTTGTTTGTTGAGGAGGTGAGTTGGTCGGCGGCGAGCGAGGGGGGGGACGTGAGAAGGAGAAGGCCTGCTCAGAAGGTGGCGGGACTTCTCAGAAGCCCTAGCGCCTTCTGAGAGGTTTTTTGTGTCCTCGGGGAAGGCCCAGAAAACCTCTCGGAAGGCCGGGGGACCTCCGAGCCCTCCGAGAAGGAACGCCCCTTCTCGCTTCCCCCCCCCAGGGGGCGCGCCGCCGAGCTGGGCCGGTCATCCTGGGACCACGCGGCCTCCAGAGGCCCCCAGGGGCCCGAGGACGGCGAGCGGTTTCACGGGCCCTTCCTCTCTTCCTCCAGGACGCGCCCGTCCCCCTGCGGGGCAGGGCGGCTCGGCCCCCGAGCCATGCTGGGCTCGGCACCGCGTGTGGCGAAGGGGCACGGCGGCCCGAGGCTCTTCGGGCCGGCGGCCCCGGGCCGCCTCGGCCGGCCGCGGCAGCGACGCGGAGGCCGCTGCCCAGAAGAAATGCGGCGCTCGCCTTCGCTCAGAGACCCGAATCATCAGGGGTAACTCGGGTCAGGGCTAACGCGGGTTCGTTTTTCGGGAATCCGAACCCGAGTTGCCCCGGGCCCGAGTTACCCCGGATAACTCGGGCGTCCAGAGCCCCAAATCATCAGGGATAATTCGGGTCAGGGCTACCTCGGGTTCGTTTTTCGGGAATCCTAGCCCGAGTTACCCCGGGCCCGAGTTACCCCGGATAACTCGGGCGCCCAATTCGCGTGCCATGAAGTCGGGCCTGTCTCTCCACCGGGGGAAGATCCCCAAATAGCCCCAACGTAGTCTGGGGACGACGGTTCGATTTTGTTGTTTTTTTTCTGAATGCTGTTTGCCCATGTCTCATTTGTCTTCCAACATCCCCCCCGTAGGAGGACATGCCCGACCTAACGTTCACCTTCACGTAGCATCGCTCCGGTGATGCTCCTCTCATGGTTGTAAGCGCAACCCGCTGCCTATTCGAAGGGGCGCTCCACGTGCTTCAAAGCGCCGTGGAAGGGCCTCAGGAACAACATGAAAGGACCTACGGGGCAGCAAGCTCCTCAAGAGCCAGAGCTGTTCCATACATCAGCGGCTTGCCTCTGATTTGCTTCGTCCTCGCAAGGCCATCGCCACCCCTTCCTTCCGACCCGCAGTGACGGTCGCGATGTTTTGGCAGACGCTCCAGTATAAGAAGAGATCTGAAGTAGTTGACGTAGTGCTCGCACTCTCCCTTCCCTCCCTCCCTTCCCTCTCCACTTTCCTCCCTCCCACGCCTTCCCATCCTCGTTGTCACATGGGGCGTTCCAAAAAGGGCCTTGCCTTCGAGGACCGAAGGAGTTGTCAACTCTTTCTCGGCGGAAGTCCCGGAAGGCGGCGGAAGGGCGGCGGAAGGTCGGCGGAAGTAAAACGAGGAGCCACCGGAAGCCCGGCGGAAGGCGGCGGAAGTGACAGATGCGCCCCCATGAGATGAAAACGTTTTGGGGTTCAAGGTTTCCGAAACCGCCCAAACGCGGCGGGGGATCACATCCAACGCGGGACGGCTCTGTAGGTTGCGTGTTTCACGCTCGGGGGCCTCTGCCCGCACTGCCTTGGAGGGCACACTCCAGCCATGCCCTTGATAGCTTCACCATGCGTTCACGCTTCTTTTCTTCGGGTCCGAAGTAACGCCGTCCCCGGGTGAGATTCTAGGCAGAGTCCAAATGGGGGGCAACGAGAGGGGTGGATAAGTCCAGGAGGGGATGCACTTACCCCCAAACGCTTATTGATCGCCGACAGTGGCCCGACAGCTCACCCCGCCCAAGAACGTGCGCTTTCGCCATCGAGGGCCTCTCGCCGATGCTCTGGCGATGCATCTTAGATTCCAGACCACTGTTCCCCCCCCCCGAGCCAGCCAGGGCCCGATATGGGGGGTGAAGAACGGTAGCTATACCCCTTGTGTGCACCTCCAGGGGCCCTGAGGGGGCCCGCTGGGGCCCAAGAGGGAGGCGAAAGGTGCACGCCCCCCCCCCCCCCCCCCCCCAAACTCCCCCCCCCTCCCCTTCCTCGCGACACCCGGGGGAGGCGCGTCGCACGCCATCGCGCGCGCGCCCCGCTCCGCCTCATGCGCCCGCCGCGGCACTGCCCACGAGCGGCGGAGGTGCCCGTGCCGGCGCCCTCCCGGTCCTCGCAGCTTCCGCAGCGCGAGCGCTCGCGACCGTAGCCATTTTGGCTCAAGAGAGGCTCGAGCACGCACCCTGGGGCGGATCCAGCAACCGGCCCGCGCCGCTCGCTCGCCCGCTGGGCCCGCCGCTGCGCTCCGAGTGGCGCGCCATGTTCTGCCGCCGGCGCGGCCGCCGCGGCGCGGCCGCGTCCGCGGTCTTCGCAGCCCTGGCGGCGGCCGCGGGGTGCGGGCACGCAGCCCTGCTGGAGGCCTTCGCCGGGCCGGCCGCGGGGCCCGCCCCTGTGCGCGGGGCGCGCCTGCGCGCTGCGGCCGCCCGCCCCGGCCGCGGGGCGCTTGCTCCGGCCGCAGCCAGGCTCGTCGGCGCGGGCACAACGAAGCGCCAGAGCGGCGTGAAGCATATACATTGGCACCTAGCAAGGCAGGAGTGCGTGTTGAATATACGATAAAAAAACGGCCCAGACAAAGGTCGCACGACGGGGTCTCAATTCCGCCCGAAGGACGGGTCGTCGCCAAAGGAGGTGGAGCGGGAGCACCTCGCCGCCGTCGAGGCGCTGCGGCAGCTCGAGAGGGAGGACCAGGTCGGGCGGCTCCGCGCTTGCGCTCGCCACCGTGCGGAGCGCCAGAGCGGCGTCAAGTACGTCGTCTGGCGGAAAACAACGAAGGTGTGGCGTCTTCAGTACAGGATAAGGAAAAGTCCAGACAGAGGTGCCTGGATGATGCCCACTTTCCGCCCACAGGACGAGTCGCCAGAGGAAGTGGAGCGGGCGCGGCTCGCCGCCGTCGAGGCGCTGCGGCGGCTGGAGGCGTCCGCCGCGCCCGCCGAGGAGGAGAGGGAGCGGCTGGCCGCCTTCCGCAGGCGCTACCCCGTCGGCGACAGCGTCTTCGAGCTCTTGGCGAGGCAGCCGGCCGAGGTGCAGTCCGTGGTGCTCTCGAGGTTCTGCCCGCCGGAGGAGGGCCTGTCCGACTACTCGGCGCTGCTGGACAGCCTCCTCCAGACCATCAGAAAGCGCGAGGGCTTCTGAGAGGTGCTGCGGTCGGCGCTCCTGCCCCTGCGAGCAATGCCGACGTCGAGAACTGATTACCGCGCGCGCGCGTGCTCCCGAAGGCAACGTCGAAGCGCTGCCGCTGCGGTTTCTTTTTCTGCATCGGTGGGGTGCTGCTGGACGGCTCTTCCACAAGTATTGAGACGCATTCGGATTTCGCACCTGTCCTGTGTTCCCGTTGCCGACGGTGTCCAGACGCCGCTGCTGCTGTACTTTGCATCGGGGACGTCGGGCGCAGTCACGCCTTGGCACTCGGAATGCGCGCTGACCTTTCGAAAAAAACAAGAAGCTCGCGGAGGCATGCCGTCCATGCGGGCGCGCTCCGCGCCGGGCGTCCGCGGACCGCACGCGCCCCGGGGTCCGCAGAGGCCCGGCCCGGGGGGGCCGGGCGGGCCCGCGACCCAAGCAGTGGCGAAGCGTCTTGGCTCGCCTATAGCCCTACCAAGCAATGTTCAAAGAACCTCTTGTGGCTCCCACGAAAATGTTCTTAGAACAGTTGTGGCGGAGTCTGTTTTGTTTGAACACATCGGGCTTATGTTCTAAGAACATTGTTTTTTCTTTTTTCTTAGAACATCTTTGAGTTGTAAGAGCATTTCGTGGTAAGACTACAGGAATGCCGGGACGGTCGGTCCCTGCTCAACGCGAGGCCGCGGATGTGCTTTTCGCCCACGAGTCCCCTGCCGCTCTCGTCCCAGTGCGTCCCGTCAGCGCGGCTGGCGCCTCGAAGGCCGTCCCGAGGCGGGGTGGTGTCCGCAAATGCTGCCAAGGGGGATCGCTCTTCGGGGGCCTCGGCGGTGCACGCAGCTCGTGCTGGAAGAGGGGGGGCTTCCTCAGAAGATTTGGCGGCGAGCGGGGGGGGGGAAGTGAGAAGGAGGAGGCCTCCTCAGAAGGCTCGGAGGTCCCCGAGCCTCCCCCGACGACGGACAAAAACCTCTCAGAAGGCGCGAGGGCTTCTGAGCAGACCCGCCGCCCTCTGAGAAGGCCTCCTCCTTCGCAGTTCCCCCCCCCTCGCCGCCAGAGGACTGCAGAAGCCCGGCCGGGCAGCCCTTGGCCTCCGGACGCGCCTCAGCGTGCCAGGGAGGCACGGAGGCACGGTGGCGGGTCCACGGCCTGGCGGCGGGTCCCCGAAGATGCGTCCCTCGGGCTGCGGCGATGGGTCCCCCCCCCCGCCTCGCGGACGCCATGCCAGCGCAACGGCACGGGGCCCGGTGGCCGTGGATGAGCCTGCCGCCTCCTTCCCCGTCCCCGGCTTCCCCTCCTGAGAAAGTTGCTTCCAACTGCGGTGCACGCGCACACGCGGGGGTTAGTAGTGTGACGTCCCCCCACGCGCAACAGCACGGTCAAATCGTTTGGGTGAGGAGGATGTGGGATTCGGAAGGGGCGCTCCGGGTTCCTTCGGCCTTCTTCCAGGTTTTTGTTGCATGACGGTCTGTCGCATCGGCGCCACCAGTGCCGCAAGGAGGCTCCGAGTTTGATTCGAGGTTCTCTTCGGGAGGACTCCGATTGCAGGCAGCACGGAGAGAATGTCGTCCGCCCTCTTTGTCAGCGCGGTTGTCGCTGCAGCGCGCATAATCACGCAACCGCGCGTTGGGGGGTGGATGGAGGGGTCATGGGACGCCCCGCCAAGGATTGTTTGTTCTGCATGCGCACCAAACGAGCATGGATTGGAGCAGGAGTTAGACGCATAGTGAGTTCGATTTGTCGGACCACCGTTCCTGGGTTGTGGGCCATATGCCTCTGGGATGTTTATTGGGATGTCGCGGAAGGCCTCCCGGGTGCCTCTTAGGGGCCGTTTTGTTTCTTGGGGGCCATTTGGGGGCGTCTTCGGAGCCTCTTGAGGGTCTCTTCGGGCCTCCTAGGGCCCTCTTGGGGCGGAAGGCTCTGTAGGCTTCCACGTTGGGCCTTCAGGGGGCCTCTGTCGGCCTCAGGAGGGTCTCGGGGCCTCCAGATGGTCTTCGGGGTGTGTTTGTGGAGTCTCGGGGCCGTCTTCGGCGTAAAAGGTCCGGAGCGCACACCTGGCCCGGCGCACCCTCTGAAGTCAAGATTGCCGAGACGCATTGTGGCTGTTTAGCATTGCTGTCTCTGGGAGGCTCTCGCCGACCTCTTCAGATCGCCCCACCACCCCGGCAGCTCGGGGGCGCGGCCCCGGGGAGAACCCCGCCATCCCTCCACCACTCGCAGCTGGAGGAGCCCTCGGGCGCTCCACTGGTTCCTCAAGGCACGGGATGCGGCGCAGGAAGCGACGCCGAGGAGAAAACAGTGGGGCGGACGCACGCTGGCGCGGCGGCGGGTCTCGGAAGGGGCGTCGGCGGTCCTCCTCCCTCCTCCTCCTCCTCCTCCTCCTCCTCCTCCTCCTCCTCCTCCTCCTCCTCCTCCTCCCCCTCCTCCTCCTCCTCCTCCCTCCTCCTCCTCATCCTCCTCCTCCTCCTCCTCCTCCTCCTCCTCCTCCTCCTCCTCCTCCTCCTCCTCCTCTCCTCCTCCCTCCTCCTCCTCCTCCTCCTCCTCCTCCTCCTCCTCCTCCCTCCCCCTCCTCCTCCTCCTCCCCCTCCCCCTCCTCCGAGGATGCCGTTGCACCATGGGCCAACCTCTGCTCCGCAACGACGCCCCGCCTGTCTCGACCTCCGCGCGCCGGCCCTGCAGAGGCGCCCTTCACCGGCGAGCGCTCGAGCAGCGAAGCTCGACGAAGGCCCAGCGCCGATCCGAGAAGTCCGCGCGGACCTCCGAGTTTTTATGTTTGTGCCACTTCTTGTTCCCCTATTATTCTGTCGGGCTGGGCGAAAGGGGGGGATTGGGAAAGGGGGGGTTACGACATTTGCTGCATGCAGCTGGTTTCGGCCCCACCGAGGGGCCCATTCCTCGAGACATGGCCGCCTCCGGCGCCGGGAGGCGCCGGGAAAATCAGCTACGTGAGCTGATTCTCAAACCCCCCCTTTGCTATCCCCCCCTTTCGCCCGGCCCGAATACTGGATCTCGCGAGGGCTGCTCCGGAGGCCGCCTGGGCCTCCCCAGAAAAGAGCGGGGGCCACCCCCACGGGAGGCGTTGCAGCAGGGGCCCTGGCCTTCGAGGGCCGAAGGAGTTGACGCGTCCTCCGCGGCGGAAGGTCGGCGGAAGTGAACGAGGCCGCCTCCGCCGGCGGAAGCCGGCGGAGGGTGCGCGGGAGCGGGGCTGGGGCTGCCGCCTTTATCGCCCCGTGCCCGCCGTTCGCTGTCAGGGCATCGATCGACCTCGATCGCGCCGCGTCGTTTACACGGTAGTTGCTGGAGCCCCCGCTAAATTTCCAGGGCTATGGGGGTCGCGTTGAAAAAGGAGGGGCAGCGGAGGGGGGGGGCGGAAGGCGGCGGAAGTGAAGGAGGCGCCTCTCTGAGAGACGACATTTATTTTTGGGTTCCGGGATTCCGAAATCGCCCGCATTGGGCAAGGGTCGCCTTCGGCAACGCCCGATGGTGGGAGGCATGCGAAAGCGCCGGCGCGAACGTCAGCCCGCGCAGCCGTTTTTGCGCCGGGGGGGGGCCGTCGCGACCGCCAGGCCGGCCAGGGGCCCGGCAGCGGGTTGCGGGCGGAGGGGCGCGCGCGTGAGCCTGAGGCACGCCCGCTCGCGGTGGAGGGGGCCCAGGGGCACACAAGTAAATGGACGCGAATCCGAGGATTCCCCACAGTTTCAAATGTTCTGGATGTTCGTCCTCCCCCCCCCAGTTCCATATTTCCAATCATTCCTCGGAGTCGATGATTACTTGTGTCTGGGTGTTGTTTCCCCTGTTTACGCTATTCTGGCCCCTCCATCTTGTTCTCTTCCACTCAGGGGCAACGTTAGGGGGAGTAGGCTCAGGATGAGACGCATCGACGATTGCCGCATCGACGTCCAATCGCCCACTCCTCGCCGACTGGGGCCAGATCGCCTACACCGCTCGGGAGCTTGTGCTTTTGCTACCAGGGTCCTACCGCCGAACTATCGGCGATGCATTGCCGATTTCAAGTCGATGGTCCCCCCTGGGCTGGTTCTCCCCTACCGTTGCCCCTCCAGCTTCTTCTGATCCACCGTCAAACTGTCCCAGTCGATCCGAGGGTTGGCTGTCCGCAGACGAAGGCATGAACAGATGGCTGCTGTTGTCAGCATCTTGGAGGCCCCGCGCCTCGTGTGATGGCTCTCGGCTGGGATGCGTGTTGAAGTGGATCAGGAGGATAAGGTGTGGCGAAGGAATGCTGGTCGCAGCCAGGACCGAAAAAACAGACGGCCGGCGATGACAGAGCTCCTACCCGTGAAAAGCTGGAGCAGGCCCAGCGAAGAGGATTGATTGCCCGTGGATGCAGGGCCATGCTGGGAGCATTGGGGAGCAGAAACATCCCGAGGGACGCTGCCCGCAACCAGCAGCAATCATGCAGAGGGGGCAGGGAGTACAGATGCCTACCAGACAACCCAGGGCTCCCAGCGTGGTGGGGGGACACTGAGTTGGATCGGACCATTTCGTCACTTCGCCATTGCGAGCAGCGCGTGCTGCAAGGCATCATGCGCCATGCCGTACATGCTGTCCCAGCGAACCTTGTTCGTTGGGAGCAAGTGTAGAATGTAAAGGTGGCGAGTCTTGCAGCGCACGGCGGCTGGTTGTGAGGCACTGCGCGGTCAGCAGTGTGGATCGTTACTGCCGCAAGATTAAAACACGGTGCGCAGCATCGGACATTTCCCGAATATACATTTGCATGCGTACCAGGCTTGGTTTCGGAGCAGTGGTTCGACACGCCGTGTGCGCAAGACTTGCCCGATAGACAGGATTTTGCACCATCGCCGCCTCGCCCGTCTGGGCTCTGCTCTGGCTCTGGCAGGGAGCTACCGTACGAAAACATATAGCGTATAGACCAATAGCAGTACGGACCTCTTGGGTCCAGTCCGCGCTCAATCTGCTCTGGCCTTGCGATCCAGAGGCAGTTGTGCAGGCGTGTGTGTGTGTGTGTGTGTGTGTGTGTGTGTGTGTGTGTGTGTGTGTACGTGCTTGTCTCTAGTGGGGTGAGCCCATTCGGTGCAACTCGCAAACAAGCCCTGGCTTTATGTCTCGAGACCCTCATGATCGGTGCACGCAGATAGGGCTGCACTGCGAAAGGCATGATTGTCTTTTGTCACTGCTAGCGGTGCTACTCGGGATGCAGATGTGTGTTCAAGGCGATCGGCCCCACCAGGGCAGCTGACGGTACGCTCACGTACTTCAACCTTGCGTGAGCCGCAATTGTCTGGCTGTTGTTTCTGGTTGTCACGTCTTTGGATGCTACGTCTTTGGCTGCCAGGT